TGAGGTCCTCCTCGAGACTGCTGCTGACTAGAGAAGGCGAAGTCTTCGTCGTCCAGCTCGCGTGAGCCAGAGTCGTCTGACTCCTCCCCTTCGTAGAAGGCATCAGCGTCCGCCGGCCGGCCATGCTGCTGTCGTCCGTAGCTACGCGCGTTCATATCCTGATGTCCGTAGTAAAATGGATCGTCCACGGTCGTCAGTTCGTCAATGTCTGGGATATAATCGGGTAAACGGTTTTCGAAACTGGTTGGGGGCCAGCTCAGCGCTGATGGTCTACCCCGACGTCCTCCAGCGTAGGTGGACGAGGCAGACGAGGCAGTGTACATCATATCATTGAAACGATCCGCTCGTACAGTCATCTCCTCCTCGTACATCTTGACTGCAAAGATGAGAAACAGGTAACGGTCAACTTGTAAATCTTAGTAGGAAAGCTAGCTTGTCAATTTTTTAATTTGTAAAGTTGCAAAAATTTCCATTAGAGAATTCAGAAGAGCAGTTGGCAAACATACGTAAGGTTTTGATAAATTCTCATTGGACCAGTACGTTTATATGGGGAGGGGTCAAAGGTATAACCTGCGATTCATCATAAAAGTGAGACGTGGGAATACGGGGGAAAGAATGGTTACGCTGCGGGGTCTGGTGTAGTGGTAGGTTACAGACAGAGACCGAAATCCGATGAAAATATTTGGGGTCGAAGCCTATCAACCACTGCAGGACAACCACGTAATATTCACAAGCTGTCAATAGCCAGTCAGTAGCGTAAACTACGTAATTATATACCATACCGGCAGCATAGGCAATAGGTGAAAGTCCAGACACGCGCATTTCGCTGATATTCTGCCACTGCATTGCACAGCTGAGAGGGGTTCGGCTCATCAGTGGGTCTCTCAGCATTCCCTATGTGATTTCTGATATATACCCCAGTTTTCCCATTTTAGCCATTTAATGGTTTCAGAAACTAATTTTAATTTCATTTATTTTTATTCAAGGGTCTACCGGCGCAGAATAAAGTATATTCGTACATTTGCATCCATCTAACAACTCTATGTGGGCATGATGATCGCTCGGACGCTTTTAGAGCCGTCACCACCAATCACCTCGAAGGATCTTACCTTTGTAAAGAAGACGAAGACGCGATCTCTAGAAAGATATTCGCTTCTATTCGTGATCGTACCTTTGAGAGTGGAGGATAGTTCGATATCTCTAGAGCCGTTCCCGTAGGT